CTATTATTGTGAACTCACTATCTTCCTATTCCTGTGACTTTAATAGTCAAATTTTGAAGAACTCAACAAAGAGAGGTGCAAAAAATATCACGAGATTGAACTACGTTATTTTGTAAGAGTTGTGATTGAATATGTCATAATCGAATTAATGTAACGTTGTTGTAATATAATTTTTTTTATTGTACGGAATCCCGGAACCGAATAGAATCGAACCCGAATGGTTCCATAATTAAATTTAGATCCGACGGTTCCATTTATTAAATACCCGAAAATTTCGAGTTCAGGTTCGGTTCTTTTTAGAATCGAACCGAACTGGATCATATCCACCCCTACAATTAACGGTCAAATAGATGATTTGGACTTCAGTTGCTAATTTCTCAAAAGTCTGGGGACCTCCGCTAGCATAATGTGAAGATTAAGGTAAAATTTGTAAAAATAAATAAATCAAAGGTATAGGATTGCTGCTGCAATTTTTCCTAGAATTGGTTTGTCTTGGAAGATTAAGTTAATAAATTAGATTTATCAATTGTCAAGAACACGTGTATATGACTAAATTACATAATTGAGAATTGAAATAGATAACAACATATATACTCTAAATCCAATACAATCATTCATAATTTGATAAAAATCAAACTTTTACAATTTTCTTAGATTAATTTAGAATAAGTAAAATCAAAATCTTTTTTGTGTTAAATAATTTGAATACAATAAAAGCCAGTAAACTTGAATTGAAATTATTCCCTGTGGAACGATACTCTCAACTCGTTTACATCTATTACTTGTCAACGATTTCGTATATTTGCGGGTTTCGCACGAATACACATCTCATGCCCTTGACTATTCCTCAATAGAAGATATTTTTGAATTCCTTTCAAAGAATAATCCTCGAAACAACGAAGAATTTTCTTCCTACAACCCTTCCATATAGATGACAATCTCGCACTGATTGCTTCAACTTGAAAGGTTTCGAGAAGATCAATTTTCACGGCCCTCATTTTATTGACAATGGTTTGTAATTCATGTACTTATCTTGACAATGGCAGGTTATACAAAAAAATTGAAATCAAAGTATATAGAAATCAAGAAGTTTTTGGTACCTTCCTCCTCGACCTTGTACTTGTTTTTCAATGATTCTCATATTTGCCTGACCAAGGCGCACTTTGTATAGAGATCATATAGGTGATCAAAAAGAGCCTTTAGAATGTTTCTTCTACATATCAGTTCGTGCTTAACTTATTACAATCAGACAATCAAGTCGTTAATTAATTTTAGACTAATTTAATTCCGTGAAGTGTGGGCATAAATGTTCATTAGGAGTCGCACCTGTCTTTGTGCATAAGGTGCCACTAGTTATTGGTGTAAAATAACTTAGCCTATGTTTGGCTGCCAATTTTCTTAATAATTCATTTTCAACCACACTTTTTCATAAAATAATTTTATACATAAATTCACAACTTTTATTTTTTATTTTTTAACCACATATTCTCCAAAAAAATCACTAGTAACACCTAACGCACCAGTGTTGGACCTTTTTCTCGAGTTGGTCGTTTTGAACTTCAACAACTCACACAATTTCATCAATGAAGTCCAATCTTGTATTTCTCAAAAAATTCAACCAATGTTTTTGATATCGAATTGGATTGTGTTGACTGGTTCAATTGGAATTTTTTATAGTTACAGAGTCCAACTTTGCCGCTGTTTTATAGTCATTATTTTTGGCAAAAATAAAGTTTTAAATAGTGTATTTTGAAGAATGTGCGGTTAAAAAGAATTAAAACATTTTGATTCTATGTGCATAATATCTTCTATATATTAAAAGTGACTATGTAACGGAATTTCTTGTTTTTAACGGAAAAACTAACGGAATTTGTTGTTTTAACGGACTATGTAACGGAATTTCTCATTTTAAACAGGCAGCTGCACCTTCTTTCAGTGTTTTTATCATAACTTAGTATTCCGATGTTCGATTGAGGAAATTCAAAATGCGTTGGAAAGCTAACCCATCTGGCTACAACTTTGATTCAGACATCATTCTCCAATTCGATCATTTTCTATTCCAAAAATATGTCTCAATATAACGGACTATGTAACGGAATGTTTTGTTTTAAATAGGCAGCTGCACCTTCATTAGTGTTTTTATCATAACTTTGTATTTCGATATCCGATTGAGGCGATTCAAAATGCGTTGGAAAGCTAACTCATCTGGCTACAACTTTGATTCAGACATTATTCTCCAATTAGATCACTTTCTATGCAAAAAATAGGTCTCAATATAACGGACTATATAACGAAATTTCTTGTTTTAAACAGGTAGTTGCACCTTCTTTCAATGTTTTTAT